CACACACACACACACACACACACACACACACACATATAGGATAATTCAACAAATTAGATACTAAAATGTTTCATTTTTCTATTTTGTTTTTGTAATTTGATGAAAAAATGAAAGCTCAAAGCAATAAAACGAATATAACACAGACTGGTTTGACTCAAACTTCATCATAATTCCTTAATAACCTACTTCCTCGTCTTATTTTGGTCTCTAAAAATCTGGAGTAGAAGCCAGAAGATCTGCTGCATCGTAGCATAATCGACTGAGACTAAACAGGCAGCAAACACAACATTTTCATTATGCGTTTCTGAAGTCACACTCCGCCAACGCCTGCAGCGAAAGACAATATTTCCAACATGATGCTGAAACTCATTTAGTTTCCCCCCCTGAAAGAAAACTCTGAAAGGTCTCCAGCTGTACAAAGTGCAAAGAAAACCCCCTCTATAAAGGTGGATTAGCACGTCATATGGCCGCAGTGGGGTGAGCAGGCAGCACACAATGTGTTATGGTTCCTCTGTGGTAAAAGCTGTGATGAAAAGGTATTGACTGATAGGGCACAGTTGTCGCTGTGACCTAGTGCAAGAAATCTTAGATGGTGAAGCACTTGTCATTTCTAGTGTTTCCTGCTATATTGTGGGAATGGGGTGGGCTCACGGGCCTCACGTATAAACATAAGCCTTTTCAGTTTTCTTTTTGGAGTGATTTGTGTCTTCAATTTAGTTTTGGGAGGTGTATTTCTTTGTAATATAATATGTGTTATAACAGTGGTGGAAAGCTGATTTGAAACTGTAGCTTCTCAAAATACAAGCTACATATAAACTAAAGCAATTTAGTAAGCTACACTTAAGTTGTTAGCAACACAACAACCAACCAACAAGTAGTTATCTTCACTGACTCTATTTAGGGTGGCAATACATTTTTTATAAATAGGTCAGATGATATATTTGGAAGCGTTCTTTCTTTCTTTCTTTCTTTGCAATCCCTTGTAAAAAAAGATGTGTGCTTAACTGTATTGAATGTACATTTGTAGTGTACTTCAATTCTTTAAAGTATACTTTACAAAACTGCAGGCAATAATAATGAAATAAACCTTTAGTTTGTATTTGTATTGTATTTTTTTACAGTAGTTTGTTATTCAGTATTACATTTAAAGTTAATATATTTTAAATGTAGTAAATTGCAACTTAATCATTATAAATGTGTAATTACAAATATATTTAAATACATGACATAAATAGAAATGACAGTATCCATTTTTTATATATATATA